TGTTCCTTACAAATGTCGATGTGATGATAAGCAGACTTCAAGTCAAAAGTGAAAGCAAACGTTTTGGCGGGAAAAATCTGTAACACCGTTTTCAAATCTTCATATTTGATAGATTTCTTCAGCAAAAACTTGTTCAGGTGAGAAAGATCTAAAATCAAACGTAATTTTCCTGATGATTGGACCGCTACGTGTAACGGGTTGCAATACAACGGTGGGGATTGGACTTCTTGAATACAACCGTTCAATAACAACTCTGCCACCGCCTCATTAACAAAATCACGATGAACATGAGAGGAATTTCTATTCTTAATACAGTACGACGTAGGTGTAGATTGAAACAAAATTTTATAACCATTAGAAATAGTATCCAAAATAAATTCTGAAGCACCAATAGCTTCCCAAAACGTTATATGAGACTTCAGTTTTCCTTGACAAAACCCAAACCCAGGAGAAAATTGTTCAAATTGTTCAAATTCAAAAGCGTTACTTAGATCCGGAGGAGTTGGATCCGTTGGAAATTCGGGAACAGCTATCTGCCCAATGGCCGCGCTTGCCACATCGGAAACACAAGTCTCGCTGCATGGTTGGTCTTGAGGACCAATTAAATCTGCTACCTTGGGGACGAAAATAAGACCCATAATTGTTATAAGGCATGTTATGCGACATATAACGCTGACTTGAGCTAGTTTGGGCGCTTGGTTTCGAAAGCTTTTTCTTCTTCACTGCCGCCGCTTTGGAACGCTCGCCTGCTCTTTTCTCCGCTTTTTTGATCTTTTTGGCATCGGCTTCGTTATCCGCGAGCTCATCATCAACATATTCTTGAATAGTGGCACAGCCAAACTCGCTTTTGTCTGCAATTTTTGTAAGTTTTTGCCTATTATTCAAAAGGACAGTACCTTGTTCGAGCAGTTCTTTTGCTCGAGCGATGTTTTTCAGCTCCAGTGCTTTCGAAGCTTGTTTGTGACATGCAATCACTTTTTCGTTGAATTTGAATTGGTGCTCATTTCCTTTCTTTTTGAAGGTTGGTGGGGCGGCAACTTGATTTTGGGAGGTATTGATCGCCAACTCTTGTTGTTGGTTTTGCAAGGTAGCTTCAAGCCCTGAAATCTTTTCATTGACTGCTGTGAGGATCGCTGTCTTCTGGGCCTCCAGTAAAGCTTCTAAATTCAGACCACTGCCCGAAGGAGTACTAACAGGAATTCTATCGTCCGTCATCGAATCAAGTTGAAGTTGTAAAACGGTTAGAACAGTAAAGTACTTCGAAACTCAAAATTTTAGTAAGCGGTTCCAAGTGAGAACTCAAGATATTTGCATATTCCTCTACACTCCTTAAGTACTCTTCAAATCACTTGATAGAACACATTCCATCGAGAGCATATTTTTCCCTAATTTTCAAAACGCGAAAAAATTCATTTTTTTGAAACTGGCCATTCCAGGTCTTTAGTATTTTTGCATTTTTGTTTTGTAGAAGTCTCTGCAGATCTAGCCACATCCCCCTTTTCGACACCAAGCACAGCAAACCTAGATWTGTCAATTGMGCGGCYGATGTGCATCATGGGAGTCTGGTTCAAACTCGACAGGGAGCAACCGACATTCCTGTTTTCATAGTTTCTTTTTAAGTGCCAAGCCACTCGCACCTACAGGCAAAATATTGCACCGATTGCATACTTTGGATGTTAAAACTTGCCAATTTTACCTTGGTAGTTTCTGCCACAGAACGACTAGGGAGGCGACCTTTCTCTAACGTCGGCAATTCAAAGCTAACTTCGTATTGGCGACATTGTCTTCGAAAAATCGCTTCCCGTCTCTGATTTCTTCCAGACGAGTGTCTCTGCCGCCTAGTCGAGCTTTATAATGCAGTCCTAGGAGCTTCTGTGGCAGCAAATGACTCGAAAAATCACTTAAAAACGGTTTTTGGGCGAATTTGAGAGCGAGTGCTGGCTAATTTAGCGACCCGTCTCAAATTCACCGGGCGTCGCTGATGTAAACAAACTCATAAGAATGTGAATCTACAATAGTTTGATTGACAACTCCATATGTGGGGTACTTTTAATTTTTTTGAAATATCAGTCTCAAAAACAACCTTAAATCCAAAATAAATCGCGGACGTTAAAGGGTTAATTGAAAACCAAATAATTATTAACCATGCCATATTTGCAATAAAATTCATTTATATTATTCTGTAATCATGAATCAATGATTTACATTTACACTATATTATATTGTACATTGCCATGAAGTTTTTAGCAACATTGCATTGTTTTTCATATTTTGTTAAAAGTGATTTTTACTTGGTATAGTGCATGTTTCAACTTTTCAAGAGTCAAGATAAAAAATGAACAACACACTCCAGTGATATTAGAGCAAAGAACATAAACTCAATTCTATAGGAAAATTCATTGGATGACGAGGGGAATTCCGCAATGAATTTCACGAGAAAAACGATATCGCACGAGTCGCCAAGCGATATCGTTTTTTTGAGAGAAATTCATTGCGGAATTCCCGAGTCATCTAATGAATTTTTCTTGAATCTCATACCAACACTTATTATTTACAATTGGAAAATTTTTCAACAACGTGAACCTCGTCACGCGCCCTTCGGAAGCCATTTCGTAGCTGACTATATGATTAGCCAATAGGAAACGATCACAAATTTATCTGTTAGTGAACGTTTCATCATTTCATTCACTAAGTTAGTTGGTAAGTTTACTGTTTTTCAATCCGGTGTTAACAAAACGTCTTATTTACTGCGGCTAGAAAGCTAATTATGGACTGTTGACGCTAAAAATCGATGTATTTTACATCACATTATCGAAAACAAGCGAAGATATGTTATTCGCTGTGATTATAGCTGGTCAAAAGGGGATCCACAAGCGAAGAAAATACACTGAAAATACTACAATACATTTGTATTTGCAAGTCGTTGGTTTTACAATGATTACTACATAAGCTTATAGGTAAGTAGTAAGAGATAATCAAATTGTTATTGTTCTGATCGTTCAATAGTTCAATAATGTTCAATGTGAGAAGAAAAAGAGTCAAAGTTAAGCATAAAAGCTTAATATTTGAAGCTTGAAAGAACTTTGCCTAAAGTTGGCTAACAGTTAATTTTTTCCTTTTCAGTTCAAGATGAACCTGGATTGACACTGGTATGAAGGTTAATTGAGTTTACAGGGGAATTATGAAAGTTTGCCTCTGTAAACAGTCCGCTCACGGCACCAGCAAGAAAGCCAGAAGAATTAAATCTCGGTACTTGGGGTTGATGAGTCGCTTGTGGCTGAACGGCGTTTGTAGACACTACTATTGATGAGCTACTAGTAGCAGATGAAGGAGCGTTGTACCCAGAAAGCTTGATCGACATCTGGCGCTGATTTTCCAGTGGATTGTGACTGTAGCTTTGAATCGACTCAGCATTGGCGTTTCCCGTTAGCTCTGAAATTTCTACAGAATGAAATTCATATCTTAGTAACTGGATTGCCGTCTTTCTATGCCGCGCCACTCTGGACAATAATACTTGTTGTGTAATATATACGACTTGTGCTAAGAAATATACGACTTGTGTTAAGAATGGCGACTTGTGCCGATATATACGACTTCTGTTGAGAAATTTACGACTTGTGGTAATAAATATACGACTTGTGTTAAGAAATATACGACTTGAGTCAATATATACGACTTGTGTTTAGAAATATACGACTTGAGTTTAGAAATATACGACTTCTCTTGGGAAATATACGACTTGTGTCAATATATACGACTTGTGTTAAGAAATATACGAGTTGTGTTGGGAAATATACTCCTTCTGTTGAGAAATATACAATTTGTGTCAATATATACGACTTCAAAGACGCTTTCAGGTCAGTGGCATGCACTAGCCTAGGCAGATCTAAGGGCCTGGATCGGCTTTTAAAACACAAATAATTTCTTTGTAAAAAACAAAAAATATAAAAAAGGCTTTTTATCAGTTCGATTTCTTAATAAAATGCTTTTATGGAACTTCTTTAAATTTTCGCATTTTTTGATGTCAATCTATGAGATCGAGCTGCCTGTGGCTACGCACGCAACTCCTAAACATGGTCTTCCTGTGGTGTGACAAAAGGTGGGGGAGAGGGGAGGGGAGGAAGGATAACACAGGAAACCCACGGCCTGACACTTTTTAAAACTAGTCTGCGGTGCCATTGACCAGCGGAAATAGCTTCACTCTTCCAATATGGCGGATGATTTGGATGATCTTTGTGAGATTTTAACAATTGGAAAGCACATCTGTGAAGAAGTAAGAAGAGCCGATAGAGAGACAGCAGAAAGGTTAAGAAACAACTGTGCTCAAATGATCATTGCAATAGTTGTTTCAACGAGAAGAGTCCCTATAAATGATCAAGACTGTATTATTATCGACGAACAGGTCTATCTATTGATTCAGAAATACACATTGTTTGAAGAACGATTTGCCGAAAAGGAGAAGTGCGATTCAATGTATCCGTGCCCTACAGTTTCCGTTGGTCGCTAAGGTCGCCCTAAATTTGTCGCTGGGATTTTCGTGGACCGCTATAGCTCGAATGCTGGGCAATATCGGCAGGCAATATCGCGGGTGGATCCAATCGGTAGAGGACTGAGAAAGAGGACAATAACAAAGAGGAGAGTCTATTTTGTGTCCACTCCAAATGCATTGTGGTAAGTGTCAACTTTCCCTACCCCTTACTACTGTTACATGACATAGCCTTTGCACATGCAATTTTTTTTAAAGTTTTCAATCATTAATTACGTGGGCTTCCTGTGGAAGTCCACATCTAAGAATGCAACTGTTTTTTTCGTCGTGGTGGTGAATATTACGCTTCAAATTTGTAGCGCATCGATAGTGCATGCGTTACAGTCTCAGTTTCCATGGAGATGTCAAAATAAACCAATCAGCGTTTCTATTGTTTATGTCACCTATATGACCTATCAGATATTTTGAATAATATAGACGCTCTTGAGCGTACAGTCGAGCTAGTTATTTTGGAAAACTGAGAAAAAAGACATGGTATCCAAAGAATTTACTTAGAGTTCAGTTCGGTAAAAAATTATGATGTAATAAATTGATAACATATTAATTTAATTCTGTCTTGACTTATTACAAACAAAGACTATCTTGTTAAAATGAAACAGCATTGTCACAGGAAGCCTACGTAAGCGATCCATGATCGTCTAGTTTTTTCAATAAACTGTGCAAGTAAATTGTGGTTTGTTTATCCTGTAATTTGGCTGTAGCCTATATAAAACAACCTGCTTGATCACGTTTGGTTGGCTTAACAAGTTCGTTTTACATACCCCGAGGACGTCGTATTAAGTAATGGTCCGAGTAAGAAGCAGGCAAGCAAACGGCAATGGAATGCATGAAGGTGCTAATTGTGTATTGTATAATCCATCCATCTCATTGGTTAAAACATTAAAATTTGACATAATTTCAAAAGTAATCGCATTTTTTTAACATTTTATTTAATATCTGATTCTAACTTTATAAAAGCTTTCCTTAGCTTTGATATTAATAGGAATTCTATGTGGGGAACATAGCAAATTAGAAACATCTTTTGGCTATTGTTTTGAGTGCTTATGATTGGACAAAATCTTTTAATACAAAAGAAACTTTGTTTCAAAACAGAGTTTATCCACATTTTATTTTAAAAATGTGTWACGCATAGGKTGAYATATAATCRRTGTGAAAACCAAGACATTCGTATGTGGGGAAGTTGCAATTGCCGCACAACAATAGAAGTTTGCCTGCTTTTTGCGCGCATTGTTACTTAAATAAAGAACATCTTCTAATGATAATATTTAATTCTTTTTGCAGGCACCTGGATGGACACCACAAACTCATACGGTGGCGCATTGTCATTCATGGAGCAATTGATGGTTATTCCAGGACAGTTGTCTTCCTCTCTGCATCAACTAACAACAGAGCATCAACAGTGCTAGACCTCTTTTCAGCTGCAACACAAGTTTTCCACCACACACGTAGAATACGGCCAAGCTCCGTGAAATGAAGTACAAGTGGTGGTCAGAAAGAACTTCTTCAGGCAAGCGTTGACGCGCATGATGCGAAAACGTTCCACAACGAGATGGACCATCGTCGAGAGGAACATGTCCACTCTTTGCTGTAGACGGAGAAACATTGATTAAAGAACCTTCTTTGATCCTGGCGCGCTGGGCAGAGCTCTTTAGCCAACTTCTAAATCGCG